GATTGTATATCTGGAAAACACCAAGGTTTCTACTTCGAAACTGTTAGAAGTGATCAAGGAATACAGCAGCATCTCAGGTTACAAAATCAACACTCATAAATCTGTAGCCTTTATATATGCCAACAATAGTCAAGCTGAAAAAACAGTGAAGGACTCTCTTCCTTACACAATAGTGCTAAAGAAGATGAAATATTTGGGAGTTTACCTACGAAAGGACCTGAAAGATCTCTATGAAGAGAACTATGAAACTCTAAGAATAGAAATAGCTGAAGATGTTAACAAATGGAAAAACATACCATGCTCATGGCTGGGAAGAATCAACATTGTTAAAATGTCCATATTACCCAAAGCAATATGCAATTTTAATGCAATCCCTATTAAAGCTCCATTGTCATACTTTAAAGATTTTGATAAAATAATACTTGGTTTTATCTGGAATGAGAAAAAAACCTCAAATAGCCAGGACATTACTCAGCAATAAAAACAAAGCAGGAAGAATTACACTACCAGACCTTAGACTATACTATAAATCAATAGTGATCAAAACAGCATGGAACTGGCACAAAAACAGAGGGGTAGATGTATGGAACAGAATAGAGAACCAAGTGATGAACCCAGCTACTTACTACCGTTATTTGGTTTTTGACAAGCCAGTTAAAAACATTCAGTGGGGATGGGTGGCACCTGTGGCTCAAAGGGGTAGGGTACTGGCCCCATATGCTGGAGGTGGTGCGTTCAAATCCAGCCCCACCCAAAAACTGCAAAAAAAAAAAATATATATATATATATATATTCAATGGGGAAAGGATTCCCTATTTACAAAATGGTGCTGGGTGAACTGGCTGGTGACCTGTAGAAGTCTGAAACTGGACCCACACCTTTCATCATTAAGAAAGATAGACTCGCACTGGATTAAAAATTTAAACTTAAGACATAAAACTATAAAAATGGTAGAAGAAAGTGCAGGGAAAACTCTCGAAGAAATCGGCCTGGGCGAATATTTTATGAGAAGGACACCTTGGGTAATTGAAGCAGCATCAAAAATAGACTAATGGGACTTGATCAAACTAAAAAGCTTCTACACAGCCAACAACTCAGTAAATAAAGCAAGCAGACAGCCCTCAGAATGGGAGAAGATATTTGCAGGTTATGTCTCTGACAAAGGTTTAATAACAGAATCCACAAAGAACTCAAATGTATTTAGCAAGAAAAGAACAAGTGATCCCATCTCAGGGTGGGTATGGGACTTGAAGAGATACTTCTCTAAAGATACTTCTCTAAAGTCTTCTCTAAAGACCTGGCCTAGAGACATATGAAAAAATGCTCATCGTCCTTAATCATCAGAGAAATGCAAATCAAAAATACTTTGAGATATCATCTAACTCCACTAAGGTTAGCCCACATCACAAAATCCCAATACGAGAGGTATTGGCATGGATGAGATCAAAGGGAATACTTACACATTGCTGGTGGGAATACAAACTAATACATTTGTTTGGAAGGATGTTTGGAGAATACTTAGAGATCTAAAAATAGACCTGCCATTGGATCCTACAATTCCTTTACTAGGTATATATCCAGAAGACCAAAAACCACATTATAACAAAGATATACATAGCAGAATGTTTATTGCAGCCCAATTCATAATTGCTAATTCATGGAAGAAGCCCAAGTGTCCATTGACCCGTGAATGGATTAATAAATTGTGGTATATGTATATCATAGAGTATTATGAAGCCTTAAAGAAAGATGGAGACTTTACCTCTTACATGTTTACATGGATGGAGCTAGAACATACTCTTTTTAACAAAGTATCTCAAGAATGGAAGAAATAGTATCCAATGTACTCAGCCCTACTATGAAACCAATTTATAGATTTCTTATGAAAGCTCTAACCCAATTATAGCCCAAGAAGGGGAGAGGGAGGAGATGGGAGGTGGAAGGATGGATGGAGGGAGGGTAATTGGTGGGACCACACCTACGGTGCGTCTTACAAGGGGACATGTGAAATTACTAGGGGTAGAATATAAATGTCTAAACCCAATAACTAAGAAAATGCTGTGAAGGCTATGTTAACCAATTTGATGAAAAGATTTCAAATTATATATAAAACCAGCATATTGTACCCTGTGATTACATTAATGTACACTGCTATGATTTAATTAAAAAAAAAAGAAATTTTGTTTGGATATAATATGTATACATTTGAAACTCAAAACTAACTCTTTAACATAGAGATTTAGTTCAGGTATATTGATGTGTTTTAAATCCTTCATATCCTTAATGTCTCTGTTAAAACACATTGTCTCTTATCTGCATAGTTTTGAGACAGATATGTTCAGTTTTTCTCTGTAATTTGTCTTTAATTTATTGATTCAACAGGTGTTTATTGTTTTCATATGTCATATTGTCTGCCTATAGTGAATTAAAAAGTGAATAAGTTTGGTAAGCTTTTGTACCCAACACTTGAAAAAAAAAATACAAATGAATCATTTCAGAACATGGGGGGAAAAATATGTAACCTGGCGTGAGGGTGTGGTATATGCAGCATTAAGTTAGGTGTTCAAGGACTGCCTTTGTGAAGGTATGATTGAGGATGTCATCTAGTGATGAGAAGAAGCCACTCATGAAATATTGTGAGACCATAGGAACAGCCAGTGCACATCCCTGAAATGGGAAGAAGTCTGTTCTATCCAGAGAACAGAAGGGCAGCCATTTTGAGAAGTCGGACTTAATGAGGACTTGACTGTGTAGAGTCTTTGTCATGGCCTGTGGTAAAGATTTGGGAATTCATTCTGCTTGTAATGGGAATCTGTTGGCATGTTTAATCAGGGGAATGAAAAAAATCTGTTATTTAAGAAAACAGATTTCTTGGCTCGGCACTTGTGGCTCAAGCGGCTAAGGCGCCAGCCACATACACCTAAGGTGGCAGGTTTGAATCCCCAGCCCAGGCCCGCCAAACAACAATGATGGCTGCAACCAAAAAATGGCCAGGCGTTGTGGCGGGCGCCTGTAGTCCCAGCTACTTGGGAGGCTGAGGCAGGAGACTCGCTTGAGCCCAGGAGTTGGGGGTTGCTGTGAGCGTGATGCCATGGCACTCTACCCAGGGGGATAGCTTGAGGCTCCGTCTCAAAAAAAAAAAAAAAAAAAAAGAAAACAGATTTCTTTAGCTACAATTTGAAAATGGATTGTAGTTGAAAAAGAGAGGAAATAGACCAATTAGAAGGCTATGACATAGTGTTAAGCAAGAAATAATGGACTGGAAGGTTCAGAGTACTTTCTGTTGAATTTTATTACATTTGGGAGAGAAGTATTTGCCTTGAGTCAGTGGTGCAATTTCATATTAAATTTCTTTGTTCTGCAAGTTTGTGTTTTATGGTTTATGAATTTATGGTTTGTGGTTTGTGTCCCCTGATTTTCGTCTTTTGGTTTATGGTTTGTGTCCCTTGATTTTCCTCTTTTGGTTTTGATTTGTGTCCCCTGATTTTCCTCTTTTTCCATTTAGTGTCATTTTGCCTTAGACTGCTGCCAGTCCTTTTTTTTTGGTGTGAATTAACTTTCACACTATAAAAGAGTAAAAATTAAATGAGGTAACAGTTGTAAGTAAACATCATATATGAGACAAGAGAATTCAATCTCTCTCTGCACACTCTTTCATTTCTCCATGTTGTCTAACAGTTTGGGGTATGGATAGCCCTGTAAATACTTTATATTTTGTACTGTATTTCATTGTTGATTTTTTTTCCCTCCAAAGCCATTCTCTCACCCATATTTGGTAGAGATCTTCATTTATTCTGGTCCTTTGCCCATATCATTTGATTCCTTTAATAGTTTACTCTTTCCACCATTTACATCTTTTTTCTTCCTTTGAAATTCTACCAGAAGATTCCATTGCACTAAATATGTCTCCCTCCCCCATTTCTGTTAGAACTTTGATATGTAGTCACTTTGGTTTTGTTCAATAATCTATTCCCCCCTCACAGTTTTAATTTGACTCACTTACAGTGACAAACGGTTGAGCTGGGTCAGTCACACTTAAAATGAAAATTAAAAAGAAAAAGTGTTACTTGCTGTCAGTATTGGGGGTATTTCTACAAAAAGTGCAGAGTGAATTCCTAGATCTATTCACAATCCCAATTTCTTAGATAGAAGGAAGCCTGGGAATGATGGCTCATACCTGTAATCTTAGCCCTTTGGGAGGCCAAAGCAGGCGGATCACTTGAGCCCAGGAGTTTGAGGTTGCAGCGAGCTATGATGATGTCTGTGCACTCAAGCTTGGGTGACATAGACTGTCTCAAAAAACAAACAAAAAGGCTCGGCGCCTGTGGCTCAACCGGCTAAGGTGGCCGGTTCGAATCCCCAGCCCGGACCCGCCAAATGACGGCTGCAACCAAAAAATAGCCGGGCGTTGTGGC